TGGGAGAACATATTTGCCAAGGACACGTCTGGTAAGGGGTTAATTTCCAAACTGTATAAGGAACTCTTACAACTTAACAGAAGGGAGGCAAACAATCCAATTTAAAAATGAGCAAAGGACCTGAGTAGACACCTCTCCAGAGACGACATGCGAACGGCCAAGAGACAGATGAAAAAATGCCCAAGTCACTGACCATCAGAGAGAAGCAAATGACAACGATCATGACGTTCCACCTCCCACCTGCAGGAATGGCTGCCATCAACAGTGAACGCACCAGCCAGACAACAAATCAAAGTTTCTCTCCCAAATCAATTACAAAACATCTCATGGGGCTTGCCCTCCAGGCTTGAACTTGCTTGGGCCCATGGCCTCCCTTTCCCTTCCTTCCCTCTCCTCCCTCTGGGGTGGGAATGCCGGCCCTGGGGCCTTCCTGCCTGCAGCCTCGAGTCTGGGCCACAGCCCTGCAGCTGGGGAACCCCTGGTCCCAGGATCCCTCACTCTCGTAACTCCCCTGCCTGGTTTCGCTGAGATTTGGGGCTGAGAGGGGATGCTGGGTGGGTTAGGCCTGCGGGGGGTGTTGGGATGGGGTATTCTGCGAGTGAGAAAGATGTGACTTTGGGGAGCCAGAGGGTGGACTGCTGTGGCTTGAGTGTGTCCCCCCAATTTATATCCTGATGTCCTGCCCGCTGGTACCGCCGAAGGCACCTTCGTTAGGATGATGGCGGGTGTGCTCAGGGAGTTAAGGTGAGGGTGCCCTGGGTTGGGCTGGGCCACCATCCAGTGTGACTGCGGGTTTGTGAGAAGGGGATGTGGGGACAGACACACACGCAGGATGTGCGGTGGAGGCACAGAGCGCGCCAAGGCCGCAGAGGTGGGAAGGAGGGCCAGCCGCACGGGACACCCGCCTCCGCCTCCATCTGACCCCAGAGCCCGGCAGGAGGCTCGTCTGTGGTCTAAGCGTCGGGCCAGTGCTGCTTCCCAGACGGGCTTCGGACACTCACGGTGCTGTCCTGCGGGCCAGCCCAAGCGCGTAAGAGCCGCCCAGCAGTGCTGCGTGACCTCGCGCTGCCTGGGCCCTGCTGGAGCCGCTGCGGCCCACGGGCTGGGCCCGATGGGATCCACTTCATGGAAACGAAGCCAGAGCCTGGAAGCTGTCAGACTTCCCCTGGGACCCGTGTCCTTTTCCAGTTCTGCTGGGGACGGTCACCCCGCAGGCCAGGCTAACGCTCAGGCCTGGACACCCTGCGAGCCCAGGCGGTGCCTCCGCTCCTGGAAGTGCCTCCTCCCAGAGCCGGGCTCAGGGGCTCCTGCCCTGGCCCCTCCCGGGACCCTGGCCCTGCCGGGTCTGCCCTGCCTCCCCCAGGGCGGCCTCTGTCCAGCCCTGGCCACCATAGCAGGCCTGGACGCTGCATGGCCCGTGGCCGCCCGGCTGTGCGCCCCTGGCCCCGTGAGCCTCCGACACACGCCCCACGTCCCCTGTGCATGGCTCCTGCCTCCTGGCACCTCACGCCCCGCCATGGCTCCTGGCCCGGCTGCCACCTGCCTTGTTTTGACCCCAGAGTGGATGGCGCCTCCCCCTTCTGCCCTGCCTCCTGGTCAGGCATGCTCTAGACTGGTCGCCGGGTCCCACGGACACACCCCAGACACTCGGCGAGGTTGGGACAGACGGAGTGGCTGGGCTTTCCAGGAACGGCGACAGGCAGTGAGGCGCATCCGGCGGATGCCCCGGGCGAGGCCCTGCTGACCACGGGGAGGTGGTGCTGGGGAGCCCAGGCCTGCGTCCCCCCAGCTCAGCCTCGTCCTTCAGGCTGATCTGCCCCACCCAGGCCTGGGCAGAGGACACCCCCCTTTCCCACGCGCCCCCGTCAGAATGAGGCTCACGCAACAGGCGGGTGTGGTTTGGGGTGAAATAAGCCAGTCAATGAAAGAAAAATACCACTTGATCTCACTCATTTATGGATAATAAAGACCATTATAAACTGATGAACAAAAATAGATACAGAGGCAGAGCAGCCTCGAACAGACTGTCAAACTGCAGCGGGAAGGCCGGGGAGGGTTGGGGGCGGGGTAAGAGATCAACCGAAGGACTTGAATGCATGCCTATAAGCATAACCAATGGACGCAAGACACTGGGGGGTAGGGGAGGCCAGGGGATTGTCAAGGCGGGAGGGAAAGGAGACATATGTAATACTCTTTGTAATACTTTAAGCAATAAAACAGAATTAAAAACAAACAAACAAAAAAACCCTCCACGAGGAAGCAGTGTCACAAGAGAACATACATATTTATTTCGAGGCGACAGGGCATACACTGCGCAGCGACCCCGGCCGAGCGCTCGGCTGCGGGTGTCCAGGGAAGCGGCTTCCTCACACTGGAAGCTGGAGGCGGCTCAGGGGGGTTTATGTACAAGGGCCCAGCGGCAGGCCGGGCCGGGGTGCAAGGCGGCGGGCTCCCCCTCCTTATGTCCACGCTCCTGCCCGGCGGGTCACTTCACCTGCGGACGACAGAGGCAGCATGAGGCACGGCTCGGGGCGGGCCTGGGTGCCCCTGAGCCCTGGCCCTGCAGCCCGCCCGCTCACCTTGAACAGGGTGACTGTCGTGCTGTAGAAGAGGCTGAGCAGGAACAGGACGATGAAGGTGGAGGCCATGGTGTTGAGGTTCTCGAAGCCCTCCTCATCGGCGCTCACCTCCCCCCCTGCAGGGACACAACACGGGGCTCAGTGCTGCACCCCAAAACCCCCTCCCAGGCCACCCATCCTCCCGCTGCTCAGGGCCCTCGCAGTGCTGCCCCCAGGAGGGCAGGGCCGGGGGGAGGAGCGGGGGGCGGCAGCAGAAGCGGAGGGCAGCAGGCAGGGGCCCTGAAGGGCTCAGGCTGTGCCTCTAGCGGGCAGGTCCGAGCCTGGCGCAAGCTGGGCTCCCACAGCTGCTCGCTGGAGGCCGGGCAGAGGCCCCTGTCTTGAAAGCCCTGGGTGCAGGGTGGTGACAGCAGCTCACAGACACAGGGGTGGGTGCAGCAGGGCTGGGATGGGGGGACCCAGTGGAGTGCATTCAGGGTCTTGGGTTCTCGTAGAGGAGGTACGGCCAGGGACACTTGGGGTGATGAAGCTGGGAGTGGGGTCTCCTGTCCCCTGCGGTTGGAGGTGGCAGTCGGGGCGGGCACAGGTCTGGGCCCGAGGGACCCTCCTTGCTTCCTCAGTGGGAGTCTCACTCTCTCCTTCTTGGAGTGGAGGGCGAGTGTGGGAGGCCATGGGGAGCCCTGGCTGGCTTGTCTGCCCCACTAGGAATCATATCTCTGGGACCAAGAGCTCTGACAGACACCCGAGGCTCCGGGCAGAGTGAGGCTGGGCTGGACAGACGGACACATACAGTGGGGTCTGGAGCCCCAACACAGATGGGCCTTTGAGGCAGCATCTGGAGCCCAAGACCCCAAAGGGCCAGGAACATGGGGTGTCTAGGGGGCGGCCCAGGAGGCAGTGCCGTCTGCTGGGAACGGAGCCCTGCCTGGGCCCCTGTGCCCCCCACTTCCTGCTGCAGAGGGTCTCTTTCCCCACCAGGTGTGTCCAGGGCCAGGTGTCTGTGGGGCAGAGCCCGCTGATCAGCCTCCCTGCCTCCCGGACACACCGACTACTTTGTTCACAGGCGGGTGCAGGTCCTGCTGCTTCATCAACAGCCTGGACAGGGCCGGGGTGGTCCCGAGGAGCTGCAGCCCGCCTGCCAGGTGGCCCCCTGAGCCCCTGCCCAGGGCCTGGGATGGTGCCCTGGTCAGAGTCCGGGCTGGCCTGGCCCCTGGGTGCACCTCCAAGGGGAGACAGAGGACAAGCAGGCTGGGCAGGAAGCCCTGCAGCAAGCGCGGTGCAGAGGCAGGCGTGTGCAAAGGCACTGAGTGACCAGGGTGCACAGGCTGGACATCCGTGTGTGTATGTGTCAGTGCGCATATGCATGTGTGTGCCTGCACGTGCATGTGTCTGTGCAAATGTGTCCATGTGTCAGTGTACACCTGTGCACCCATGACTCATCTGTGTGTGTGAGTGCCCATGTGAGTATGTGACTGTGTGTGCATGTGTATATGAATGTGCATTAACTGTGTGTCTGTGTGCATGCATGCATGCGCAGGTATCTCTGTGTGCATGTGTCTATGCCTTTGCATGTGTGTATGTGTACATGTGCCGGTGTGCCCATGTCCATTGCATGTGTGTCTCTACATCCATGTGCATTTGTGCCTCTGTGTGTATGTGTTCATGTATGTGCATGTGTGTATGAGTGTGCACGTGTCAGTGTGTATGAATGTGTAGGTATTTGTGTGTCTGTATCCATGTCTTTGCATGTCTTCATGTTCCCACATCCACTGCATGTGTCTCTTTGTTCATATTCATGTGTGTATGTCCATGCATGTGTGCCTGTGTGCTTCTTTGTGCATATGCCCATATCTTTGCATGTGTCTCTGTGCATACATGTATGTGACACTGTGAACACACCCGTGCATATGTACATGTGTGCATATATGTACCCATGTGCCTATGTCTTTGCACACATGCGCACATGCGCATGTGTTTCTGTGCCTGTGTTCACAATATGTGTGTCCGTGTCCATGCCCATGTATGTGCATGTCTCTGTGTGTGCCTGTGTCCATGTGCCTGTGTGCCTTTGTGGGTATCCTTATCTGGGCATGTGTCTGTGTGCATGCATGCATGTGTGCACATGTGTTGTGTGCCAATGTCCACAGCATATGTCTCTGAGTCCATGTGTGCATATCTGTTTATGCCTGTGTGCATGCATGCATGTGTCTCTGTGTGTGCATGTGTGCATGCGTGTTGTACACCCATGTCCTGTGAGCCCATAGCAGCAGTGGAGAGGCGGGGAGCATTGGCACTGTCTGCTGTGAGCACTCTGTAGGGGCTCAGGGCTTTGAGAGGTGAGTGGGAAGCCAGTGGGTGAGGCAGGGGTGGGGGCAGCACAGCCGTGGCCCCAGCAGGCAAGAGCATTGCTCACTCGGACCAGCATCTTTTGAATGGATCTTTTTATTTCTAGTTTTTATAGAATGCAACACCCCACCCCATTGACACAGCCAGTTTGCATACATGCACACACAGTGACAGGTCAGCCAGAGGCTCCGGACCGCCCTTGAGGGGCAGCCTGGGGTCAGTGGCAGGTGCTGGCCACGTCAGACATGACCAGGGACACGTTGTACAGGGTGGGTTTACCGGTGGACTTGTCCACGGTCCTCTCGGTCACCGAGTACGGCAGGGCCTCGTGGGCCACGACGCAGGTGTAGGTCTCCCCGGCGCTCCAGTCCTCCTCACTCACGGTCAGGATGCTGTGGGCGAAGTACAAGCCGGGGGCCTGGGGCTCTGGCACTGGGGCGCTGGTCACATACATGTCGGAGGACACGGGCTGCCCTCTCTGCAGCCACTGCACATGCACGTCTGGGGGCGAGAAGCTCTTCACCAGGCAGGTGACCGAGGCCGACTCCCGCAGGCTCAGCTGCTCCCGGCTGGGCGGCTGCACGTACACCGAGGGCATGTGCTTGGCGACTCCTGGGGGAAGAGGGGCAGGGTGAGCTCAGGTCAGGGGCAGGGAGTAGAGGGCATGTGTGTCTATGTGTCTTAGTGTACGAATGTGCAGGTATCTGTGTGTCCGTGTGCATATGTCCATGTGCATGCATCTCTCTGTCCATGTCCATGTGTGCATATGTCCATGTGCATGAGTTTCTGTGTCCATGTCCATGTGTGCATGTCTATGCATGTGGGCCTGTGTCCATGTGCATGTTGCATGTCTGTGCGTGTGGGCCTGTGTCCATGTGCATGTGTGCCTCTGCTCCCGGGCCTGCCATGGGGTCCAGGCTCTGGATGCTGTGCGTGGGAGGGTCTGGGTGGTGGGAAGGGCAGGGAAGGCCTACCCTTGGGCTTGAAGATGGTGTGCTTCACTGGCGAGGGCAGGTCCGTGTGGGACACCGTGCAGGTGAACTTCTCGCCCGACTCCCAGTCCTCCACGCACACTGTGGCCTTTCCTGTGGCACTGAAGGTGGCGTTGGGGTGGCTCTCAGAGATGTTGATGTGGGTTTTCACCTCCTCGCCATTCTGGCGGGTCCAGGAGATGCTCAGGCTGTCATAGGTGGCCAGGTCCGTGACCAGGCAGGACAGCGTGGCCTCCTTGGTGAGGAAGATGCTGGCGAAGGTCGGGGGGATGGTGAAGACTCGGATTGGTGTATGAAACCTGTGACAGGAGAGGGGGGTGGAAATCAAGGCCAAGGCGTCGACTTGGCCCGAGCCCCTTCCTGGGACACTAGGGTCCCAGCCGGGAGGGGACACCTGGGCCTTGCCCCGACAAGCGGCCCCCGAGTGGCCCCTGCGGGGCCCCCCTCCCCCGCCCCCTGGCCTCTTCCGGGAAGCCAAGGGTTCGAGGGAGCTTGCTGGCCTACATCAGGGGGCAGGGCCTGCCCGACCCCGAGTGGGAACCCGTGTGTGTTTGTGGGTGTCTCTGCACTTGGGTCCTCGGGGGCAGGAACACCTCACCTGGGGTCCGTCCGTAGCCACAAACCCTTCCTTCT